TGTTGCTCGACGTTCCCGCGCATTTCCGGCCGATTCGGGAGCGAGGTAGATGACAGCGTTTCCGCCACCTTGCGAGGCGCGGTTATTAACGATCGTGCACGAATTTGGAAGGAAGAAGGTAGAAAGAAAGAAAGAAAGAAAGAGAGAGAGAGAGAAAAAGCCATGCATCCTTTTGTGCGGCACGGTGCTCACGTAACCGTTCCATCCGAAACGGTCGCACGATGTAGGAAGGAAGAAGAAGGAAAAAGGGAACGCCCGAGAGAGCAAGGGAGACGGATTTCTCCCTGCTAGGAAAGAGATCATCCGCTCTCACTGCGGGTCCCAAATTCGCAAGCTCCCGGGGATTTGGGTTCGAGTTTCCTGCACTTTCGAGAGAAAAAGAAATGTGCGCTCTATGGACACACAGTATATTTCTTTCGTTCGTCTCTTCTCTCTCTCTCTCTCTCTCTCTCTCTCTCTGTCTCTCTTTCTCTTTCTCTTCATCTCCTTATATTCCTCGCTCTGTCTTCTTCCACGTGTGTAGAGTTGCCACGTGTAAAACGTACCCCCGGTGGACGCGAAGCGTGTGTTTCACAATTCTTTCTGGATGGCGCGGAGGCGCACAAAGAAAACGGCGGAAAAAAAGAAGGAAGAGGAAAAACCCGCTATCAAAGGACGAGGGGCGGCCGAGGTGCGCGGGGAGGGGCGGGAGGGTTACGTTACGTTCGATCGAACAAGGAAACACAATAAAAGTAGTGAGGGCTGCCCGTAGAAGCGTGGAGGGAACGCGAATCCTGTTTTTCATTCGTCCTGACGCCTCGCTCCGTCTCGCTCCCGCAAACGGGACGGCGGCGCAGCGCGACGCGCAAAAGCATCCCTCTCTTTAAGGAGAGTCCCACGGTTTGAAATAAAACACCTGGCTTCTCGCCCGCCCCACCGCCCGCCCGCCCGCGTGCATGCCTGTATGCGTACACGCGTGCACGCGTCTTGTCCCGTTTTTAAACACAACGTTGACAGAGCTCTAGAGTTTGGCCTCGAATGAAAGGGAAAAGATATTTATACATTTTTCGCGCTTTACCTATCGCCTATTATCGTATATCGTATACCAAACGTTTCGGAGCAACTGTACGATCGATTCTATTAATTATTTTGAATTAATCTTGCGTAGAGTGTTCCGACACGACTTTACGTCGCTTTATTTTTCTCTGCGATGTTACTAGATCAAGAAACAGAATTTAAGATACGATAACACGCACGAGTTGAAATAAAATTTAATCGATATATTAAAGGATTTTTAAAGGGAAAAAAAAATAATATCTCTATATTTGTTATTTAATTCGTGTTTGTGTTGTCATGTCACCTTAATTCAGTTTTACTTGTACGTAAAGATATTCTTTCTCATTTTTGCCTCTTTATTTTCTTCATTTATATCGTCGATATTTCTGTCACAAGTAACAATTTTGTTATAATAAAATAATGGAATAATATTAAAATCATCAACAGCGAAATATACATCCAAACGTATAAGATATTCTAAAATATCGTATAGGTCGAAATACTGTGTCAAAGTTTGCCGAGCGAATTCATATATCTGCTACCTGAAAAAAAAAAAGATTTCTTTTTGCTACCCGTTGATGTGCATTGGGCTCAGAATAAGGTACAGCATGCGCGTTCTCACGGAGAGGAGGCGCATTTCTCTCTCGCTCTCTGGCTCTCTTACACATTTTCTCTTTCTCTCTTTTCCTCTGTGTCTCTCGTCTCTCGTTCTCTCCGGCCTCCAGCCTGAGACTGGACTGGTTCCCTTCGGGCCTTCTTTACGAACTTTATTGAATTCTTTGTAATATGCCAAAGGGTTCACCGTGCGCAACCGCGCTCTCGCGCGCACCATTCATATGCTAAACAAATAAAAATTCGTTGAAAGAAACGAATCTCTATCTACTATTCTTCCTCTCTCTCTCTCTCTCTCTCTGTCCGTACGTTCCTTTTCCTCGAGAGAGGAGAGCAGCTGTCCGCGAGAGCGACTCGTATCTACGTTGTCGTTAAAAACCAAGGAGAGGATGATACCTTGAGCTATTTAATGAAAAAGGGTGCAAGATGTACCCTCTCTGCCTGACGGCGATGATGGTGGCAATGATGGTGGTTGTGGTGGTGGTGGTGGCGGTGGTGGTGATGCCGATGGTAGTGGTGACGGTGGTAAGGTCGCAGCTGCCGCTAAAACGAAGGAACAATGCGCGTTTGCCGATGACGTACTATTCCAAGATCCGTGAAGCAAACATGTTTATAAGTGGGTCATCGGGCATTCTAATGTTATGCAGTAGGATTTAATTCTTTTTTATATCAGAACTAATTTTCGTGTCACACACTCTCTCTCTCTTTCTCTCTCTTTCTCTGTAACGTATTAATCCCTCGTAAGTACACCAAACGTCTTGAAAACATCTTGGGCATATTTCGAAAGATCTTGAATTTCCGTCAGTTTTTAGGATGATTTCTCATTTATTTCATTTTATGTGTATATACTGCCTAATATATGTTATTTTTGTTAGCTTGAAACTATATACAATATCATCGTAAAAAATGAACAAAATTTAAATTAAAAGGAAGTTTTAAAGCTCTACTTTTAAATATTTTTTTGTAATATTTTAGTTTATGTGGCAATTTGTGTGTGATACTTTTTAAGTTTTTACACATAGAAAACAAAAAGAATTTGCCAAAATTTTTGACTATCGAACGTGAAAGCTTAAAGGTTTTCCTAAAAGTTTGTTCTTAAAAAGTGTTTTCCTACGATTTTTTTTGTTCCTGAGTTATTCGCAAATTAAGTAAAAGAACATTTTGATTTTAATTGGTTGTAACTCCGTTAAAAATCATGGACCGCAATTAAAAAATCAGATTCTTAAAGCTGAAACTTTGCTCTAATGAATGGTGTTATATAATCGTTAATTTTTCAAATGTATCATTTTATACTATTTTTGAACTAATAAAATACTTTCCTCTTAATGCTTTTATATTTTATACAAAATTGTGAATAAAAACTTTATCTTAAATATTCTGACATCATTATAAAATCATCTGGGTAGATCTTAAATAGTACATGCATGAAATCGTATCGATTTTGATGCATTCGGACTATATACAGGGTGTCCGGAATTTAAATGTCAAAACTTCGGGAGTATGTATAAGGGATCGATGAACTAAGAAAAAAAGTTCTGCAAAAAGATACTCATTTTTTCGTTTTGGAGAAATTTTTTTCAAAACGAAGCAAAAACAAATATCTCCCTACAAAACATTTTTCTCAGTTTATCGATCTTCTACACAATTCGAAGTTCTAACATTTAAATTTCAGACACTCTGTATAATATATATACCTAAGTATCGCAGAATCAGCTTTCGACCAAACTTTGATGATAAGCGATAAATTCAACCAATTGCTTATATTTTATAACAAAAATAACTTTCTATGTATAATTTATTCATCTTTAATTTAACATTTCTTCTCTAAAAATTAAATAAAAAGCTTTTTTACGGAGCAAAGTTGCACTCACACATATATTACGATTGATTAATCGATGAATTAAAACATTCGTTTAAAATTTAATAGTTTTATTCAAATTAGTAAAATTATTACTTAACATAAATAATTGTTTTATAAATTAATTATAGATTTAATTGATCGAAATCTTTCTTATAATTAAAATCACTATCATGGCAGACAAATGCAGGGACACCCTGTGTACATTACACGTTACACACTTTCGTTACGGAGAAGCAAAGCCTGCGGATAGGCAACCGACCAGATGTCTCATTGCAGCAGCGATTGCACTGCGAGAGATTGACGTATAAGCCAGCCGGGGTTGATTCGCGTCGATACTTGTAAATGCATTACAGGCCAGGTGGAATTAACATCATGCAGTGCGTGACATGCATACAGTTGGTGCATTATAGAGACGTATTGTGAGATTATATTCTCATTTTCCATTATGTTGCAGGCACCACATTAACGCGATAAATGTACTGGAATCTGTATGTTATTTTATCAGATGTTCCTTTTTGCACGAAAAGCTTTCTTCGTGAATTAACAGAAATTAAAGACTATATATGATTCGTTAACAGAGAGAATTTCTGTATTTCTATTAATTCATTTCTTGACGTTTTCAAAGAAAATACCATATATTAAAACTTGTCTTTTACTGTTAATTTTTATAAAATTAAATTATATATATATAAATTATATAAACTACGTATGTATATGCAAATATATTTAAACCCAGTTAGTAAAATATATGTTAATAATTTTCACGAGAAAAATTATTAACAAATTATTAGAAAATTCGATCAATAATTACAGCAAATTAGCTAATTAACTATTTTCTCACAGCTTGTTGATAAAGCTTAACATAATTAAGTGACAGCAAATTGTCGACAAAAATCAAATATTATATAAAAATTTCTAATTCCACCATGACAAAAACCGAAAGGTTGATCGTCAATAAATTGTTAATTTACTCACAGATTGTTAGTGATCATAGTTTTGTTGACAATTGGTTCTCAGCAAATTTTGTTGTATATGTATATTTTCTGCCGATTTGTTAACATTGAATATATATACATATATAATAATAATAGAATTTGCAGAAAATATATTTGATGCCTTTTTGTTGAAAAAACTTGTAACAAGCATTTGATAAAATTTGTTTTCGACAGACTTAACTGCCTGAGGAACTGCTTATCGATATTAATTTCGAATACTTCGATATTATAATTTTGAGACAAACATCTAATCTAATAATTTAAATATGTATTTGATGATCTTTTGGGATGACTTAGATCGATCAAAATCTGATCATTTGGTAATCAGAGTTTAAATTTGTATTATTTCGTTAATCGGGGTAAAATTATTGTTTAACATAGATAGGAAAAAAACTTAGATTGCTGTTGTCAGAAAGTCCATTTAATCGTTACATCAACCATGCGGTGCCGTATTTAACCTAACCTAATCTTACGATCGCTAATAATCTAACCTCAAACTCGCGACTAAAGATTATAAGAAAAATATAGAGAAAAGATTGATTTTCTTCGTCTTTACAACTGGCATCATGAATTCTTTATCGAGAATTGTTCGTAGGTACGTAATGCATTATAATTCATTTAGTTTTGTTTATATACGTAGATCAATTACTTTTTTGAGTGAGATGGCCAAACTTTATTATACGATATACGACGAAAGTACTCGAAACACGTAAATATTGTATTTATTATTTATTTGGATATCTAGAAATTTATTTAAGAACGTACATTTTTGGAACGGTTTTAAAAGGATATTTAATCCTCCGTCTGCATTACTGTGTTTCACTAACGTCGTCTGCACCGTAGGTCTTTCATACCAGTATTAAATTTCTCCAGTATTAATTTTCTCCTACTAAATCAATTGTACATGAAAAAAATTCTTTTTTTATTGTTTTACATTTCCACTTTGTATTCTAAACGTTTTTGTACTCAGATATTATATTACTTTTTTTATACACAGAAGGAAACTTTAAATGTTGAAATTTTGACTGTTTCCTAAAAAATACAAACAGAGAGTTAATGGTGAATGAGTAATAAATGAATATTTTTATTCATATTTTGAACATTTATAGGAAATTGTACCAGGAGTTGATTGTACGATTGCAGTCAACAACCACAACGTCAGCTCCATCCTCGGATATTCAAATTCCAAATAGAATAGAACGAGGTCCAACAGATATCTTGAAGGTAAATAAAATTATTCTTTTATATCTGAAAGTAGAAATAAATTTGTTTGCATAATGCTTCTATAAATGTTTCATACAATTTTTTATAGGCTTTGGAAAGTACGATATCCAGAGATCATACAGCATCACATTATAAGTTTCATGATGACCCTTTCTTGATACCGCAATCAAACAGTCATAATCGTTCATATGCTTTAGCAAAAGAGTCTGGAAGGAAAACCGCAATGTGGGTTCGTCAGGAACACCGTGACTTATTTCAGCATAAAGTAGCAGATCCTGAAATTAAGGTCATTAATCAAGCATAAAATAAATTGCTTCTTCCTGTTTGTCAATTCATATAATATTGCATTTTTATTTAATATTCGAATTCAGTTAATAATACTTCATGTTACTTTGTTTGTAGCCATTTGTACCACCTCCAATTTATACCGAAGAAAGTAAAGTGACAGAAGAAACATTGCTATATGAAATATCAAATGGTAATGTTGCTAACTCTATCACGATATACGATTTATTAAAAGATGAGATAACAGTACCAACGAAACAAGCACTCTTGGAATTGTTGTGTTTTTATAATAATAATGAACGAATCAGCGACGAATGGCTGGAGAATCGCTGGTATAGACTCAATCAGAAACAAAAAAAGACATGGATGTGAGTTTGAAAATTGAATACATTATTTTTTCTTTGCCGATGAATAATATTTTCTTCACTCTTAAAATAATACTTTATATTTTATCTCGATTTATAGAAGTTATCCACAAATTGAAGTATTGTTCGCATTTCTGAAGGAACAAGAACCCAAAGTAGCAGCCGCTGCGTATTCCGCGATGATATGTGGTTTCGCTAAATATTCCGATGTAAGATTACTCTTAAATCACTGTCTCGTAGCCCTTTTCTGTTACATTATTTTAAATTTATTGAGCCTTATCACAAACATATCTTAAATCACTCTTAAGTACAATTTAATTAAAAAGAATTTGAAAAATAACATAAAAACTCGCTACTTCTTAAAAGGGATATTTGGAACATAAAAACACAATATGATAAAAATAAGAAAAAAGAAAATTATATCTGATGATTGGATAACTTTACAATAAATGTATGTTTTAATCCAAAATTAGGACTCTATTCAGTAGATGTAGAAAAGTAAAAATGATCAAAATCAGAATCATGTTCAATCAGTGAATAAACCAGTTAAATTTTATCTACTTACATCCTATCATCTATACATTTTGGCTCTAATTTTCTTTTTTCTTATTTTGTACCCTATTTTATACAGCTTTATTACTATAAATTTCAACAAAAAATTGATATAATCTTTTAGTCAGAGAAGGCTTGGTGCTTGTATGATGAAGTTCAAGGAAAAAAAATACCGTTATCCGTCGATGCATACAATGCTATGATATCATTAATACCAGTACTAAAACAAGAAGATTTTAAATCAAAATCGTTAATAATGGATATATACAGAGTAATGACTGTAAACGGAATCAATCCAAACATACATACCTTTAACGCCGTCCTTAATGTAGCAGCTACTAGTAAAACCAATCAAGTAGCTCTAGATTTTACACGCATTATACTCGCTGATATTGCGAAATTTAAACTGAATCCATCGTTAACTACATATTATTATCTGCTGCGAATTTTAAATAGATTCGGTAATTACTTATTCTGTCACATTGCAAAGGTTTTATATTCATGAATGTTTACAAATTTTTTCGCTGAAACAGGTGATGAGTCGTATAACAGCTTTATAAAAATCTTGACATCTTTGAAGAATAAAACCATTACCATTCAAAATGAGAAAGATTTAAATTTCTTTGTTCTTGCAATGGAAATGGCATCCCAACAGTTTTGTAATCGACAAGCAGGTGAAATGGTGAACGAACTTCTTCTTGCTGGTGAAAACTACAAGTTCATTAGCAACAATTTAAGAGTAAGTTTCTTAAATCATCAACACGCAGGATTTTGTCTAGAAAACACCGTTATTTTAGTATAATTAATAATAAAATATAAAAAATATACATGGACAGTGAAATTAATAGCATTCTTTTTATATATAAAATCTTTTAATTTTAATAGATATTTTAATATAATTATTTAGAGATTTATGATGTTTTTGTCGAGGATTAAAAATTTAGTAATTTGCTAGAATAAAAAAAACCTGTTTTTTTGTTTAATTATATTATATCATGCATTTTGCAGCAATTCTTAAAATTATGCAATTTAATTATTTATAATTACGTATTTATATTAAACATTTGTATTATGCTTATATCTTTCCTCAGGAATATATCTATTATCGAATGTATTTGGAATTAATTTTGGCAACGGAAGAATTTGAGACCTTCTTCAAGCTCTACAACAAACTTGTACCGCACGTGACCATACCGGAACCTACCGTGATGAATGCTATATTAGAAGCTCTTAAATTACATCCCGCGCAGACCGTCACGCAATATATACCAAAACTCTGGTCGCACATGATCATGTTCGGTCATCTGAACAGGGAAAAGTTATTGGAGAACATATTGTACTTGATTAGCGTACATTGTAAACCAGTGTCCGATTCTCCATTAAATGCGCAATTCGAAGAGATGGCACTGACTCTTTGGGATCATATACAAGTAATTAAAGTTATTTTTAATTATAGAATATCTCATAATTTGTATTTAATAACAGATTTGTTAACAAATTTGAAATAAGTCTTTGCTTAACATATTTGTCTATATATTAATATCTTCTGAATTATATGTAATTAAGAAAAAAGAAACACCAAGTCCTTTTCAAATTAATCTATCGAAATTCAAGCTTTTAATTATTATCTTTATTTTTATGATCAAAAATTAAATATATTCAAGTCATACGAAAAATATTAAAATAATATATATACTTGTTTTTCTTCTAACACAGACTCAGAATTCTAAGAGGCTACAGCATTTTTTGGTATCTAACACAGTGGTAGGCAATATCGTAGTATTGTTGTTGCGTGGAAATAATTTTGACAAAGCGATACAAATTATATCGTTGTTAGTTCGTTCACCGCACTTAATTAAGAATGGCCAAACCATTACAACGGAGCATATAAACGAAATATTTGAACTATGTTTAACACAAGCATATGTGCCGGCCATTTTCGTAAGTATTATATTATATATACATTCTTTTACTTGTTAAATATCCTTATCAATAGTTTTATTATAACATTCTCTTGCTTTGCTTCTAGACACTTTTGGAATACGTCACTTTCCACAGTCTAGAAGGAGCTGCAGAAATGGCTGGAAAGTTGTACAAAACTGTACCTCTTACCTCCAATCAGGAAAATATATTAGCTAGTTTAGTAGGTAACGATGTTCTCCAGTTACAGATCTCTGATAAGAATTAGTTTTCGAAATCTGTTATAATTATAAAATATAGGAAATATATAAAACTTTTTGAGAATATTTTTTTATGTATTCTCCTTATACATATTCTCCTTTATTATACAAAATTGTAATACCAATTTCAAAGAAATTATCGTTATTCTATATATCGCGCGACGAACCCGCACCATGTTTTGAAGAATTAAAGCAGGGAATTTAAACGATGAGGCATATGATTAACATGTATCAATGTCCTTGTCTCTTAGAGTTGGGGGCGTAAATCATTAATGAATTAAATCAGTAACGGTGGGAGACAGCAACCCTCCAACCGCTCTTGTCGCTCAAATACTCATTTCCTGCGTCAGTCGGCACAACTCTGTTCTATCGTAAAGTATAGGATGTTAAAATCGGTTCCAGTCGAAAAAATCGAAAAGATATCATCGGAATCATTGTCGTAGAGATTGGATAGATCCGTAAGGATGATGGATAGCAGCGGCGATAGTAGCAACAGACTCATGCTCGACGATATCCGCGAATTGATTACCGAAGATGAGCCCAACGTAGAGATTGATAGTTTAGAAGAAGAACCGGGGTCGGGACGAGGAGATAACTACACTTCGATGTTGTACCGGATTCGGGCAAAGGGACGCAAGCTATTAAAAAACGAGGAATACATTCATTACGAGTGCGCTATCATTTATAAGATATTGCCGGAATCCAAAAAACGTCGTGAGGCATTTAAAAGCGAGTTACTGTTCAGGAATGAAGTCGTGTTTTATAAACATGTATGGCCCGCGTTGAACAGGCTGCAATCAAACGGTAGAAAAGTATTCAACGGAGTACCTAAGATATACGCCGCCAGAGCAGATCTTATTGCTATGGAAGATTTGAGACAGAGAGGTTTTAAAATGGCAGATAGACGGAAAGGATTAGAAGTGAAGAACCTAGAGCATGTGTTGAAAGCTCTAGCAGGCTTTCACGCGCTTAGTTTGACGTTAAGAGAATCCAGGTAAATATGTCTGGTTAATTAAATGTAGACATAAATATTCTGAATTAGAAACAATTAATCAGGTTTTCCTAGAAGTAGACTAAATATTTAAGAATCGTTGTAATTAAAAATATGATAAAAAGAAATTTATGTATTTACATGCACTTTACTTTGTTTCGGTATCCTCGTCTCTTTATTTAATGTAAAAAAAAATGTTATTCTTTAAAGGCCGGAAGAATTCGCGAATTTAACAAATCCGGAATATGATCAAGCTATAAAAGAAACGTTATTTCGACGGGATAACGAAGATTGGTACCGTCAGTATTATCGCGTGGCCGTGAATAACGCCATCATGATGGTGTCTGAAGCGCTTCCTTCGCACATGGATTACAGAAGACAGGAAGTAATGACGAAGTTACAAGCTTTCCTAAACGAAGATGTATTTTTTCGCACTATGAGTGAACTAGTCTCCGCGCAAGGATCTTTCTCGGTATTTTGTCACGGTGATTGTTGGACCAATAATTTCCTTTTTCAGGATGAACCAAGTTCAGATACAGAGGTAAATTTTATTTTATAAGAAAAGTAAATTAGAAAAACGCAATACACATTGCATGCTGGTAATATCTGCAATAAAAGGTTGCATGAATTCAGTGAAAGATGATTACTGGTGATAATCATCTTTTTTTTTCAGATCATTTACGCGAGATAACGAAACAAGAAATCATTTTGTTGTTCCATATATTTTTATTATATAAATTTATAAGATTCTTATATGATTTAAATGTTCCTTCCATTTGCGATCTTATTAAAAAGACTTCGGTTTAGTGAAAGATTACACCTAAATTCAGTAGCCGGTCGCAAAGATTCTTGCATTATGTATAATTACATCTAATAAGATAAATAAATAGATGATTAAAGATAATGAAATGTCAACTTTTAGAAAAATCGTAACGCAAAATTACATAATGCCCAGAAGTTAAAAAAATTCCGAAAAATACGTATAATATATAACAATTGATATATTCATACTTATTTCTTTTTCAACTATTTTTTTATCTTATGAACAGAACAATTTCAGACGATCATTCAAAAAAATACAAACAAATATATGATGCAAGAATATTTACATTCCGCATTACGATCTATAATCACATTCAAGACTGACAATGTTAGCTGTCGCAAATGTGAAATGCATCTCACTGCAAAACCTTCTAGACTTGATTTTTTAATACTGTGCTTCTGCAGGCCGTTTATCTAGTTGATTTTCAACTGACGCGGGTCGGTTCACTCGCTCTTGATCTTGCGAACTTGCTATACTGCTGCACGAGTGGTGTTGTTAGGCGGGCTTACATGACACAGCTTCTCCAGCACTATCATTCTCATCTGATGTCCTCCTTACGCGTTCTAAATCCAGGACAGCCGCCAAAAGATCCATCTGTCATGTGGGAATTGTAAGTAAATCGTCGAGATTCAGTCATGAGTGTAACAAAACTATAAATTCATTGCTTACACTTTATGAGTAATCTATCATTTAATCGAAAAGCTTATATGCAAATCAAAATACTAATTTTTTTTTTGTAAAACAGATGTGTTGTAAGTTTAAAAGTATAGGATGGTTTGACTATCCTTTTAATATTATTGTCTACTTAATGATTATAGATTAAAAGAAGAGATGAGGAGATGTGGACGTTTCGGATTAGGATTGGCATTGGACATTTTACCGATTAGCACATGTGCCAGTGATGAAGCACCGAATCTGTATGAAACAAGTAGCACAGAAACTAGCGAGGAAAAACATAATACCGCAGGAGCACCACCACCCGGAGGTGCCGAATGTGCCCGACTCATGACTGATTTAGTATTGGAATTGATAGATAATGAAGCTTTGTAGATCAGATGCCACATTAATTGACATTGACGTATGTAACAATACATATGATATTTATCAAGAGTGTAAATCGTTTATAACTCTCATAAGGAATCCTTTTTTTTTTTACGTACATATAAAGATAATTTCTTTCTACAATTCACGCACAATACGTTCGTAATAGAAATAAGAAAAATATATATATGAAACTTCTGCAAACTATTTACAAAAATGTTTCGAAACCACGCAAATTTATTTTGTACACGTAATCGTAGAAAATTTGGAAACAAATAATTAAAAAAAAAAGAACAAATAAAAACGAAAAAGAAGATTCAAGGAATAATGTTAATAATGTATATATAATTTGTGAGTTTATATATAATTGATTTATTTAACTATTACATATTTAAAGAATCAAACTCACGAAAGAGTTATGTCTGTTGCGGCGGTGTGTGCGGTGGTGGTTGTTGCGGTTGAGCCTGCGGACTTGGCGGTTGCTGCTGCTGTTGCTGCGTACCGGGTGGTTGCCATGGTGGATGTTGTTGATTTTGTTGTTGTTGTTGTTGTTGTTGTTGTTGTTGTTGCTGCTGCTGTTGTTGCTGCTGCTGTTGCTGTTGTTCTTGAGCCAGTCGTTGATGGGCTTGCTGTCGTGCCCTGAACTCGGCCGCCTTTAACTGTTCGAGGTGGAACTGCTGCCGCTCGGTGATAAGCTGCTGCCGTTGATATTCAAGACCCTCGCGTTCACGCTCCATCGTGGTTTCTAATTCCTCAAAGTGACGCAGCTTGATTTCTAGCTTTTTCATTTGCGTCTCGACTAGTAATGCGACCAATGACTTGATTTTACGTTCCTCTACAGCTGCTAAATGTTTGGCTTTAACAGCCGCAGCCGCTAGCGCTGCCGCTGCCGCAGATTGCAGCTGAGCGTCCCTTACGACCTATAAAAAAAATCGTGTTTAAACTCATGGTATTCTATCACTTAAACATATTTCCTTTTTTTATAATATAAATCAATTCATGTCACTAAGATACTTACTTTATCCTTCTTCTCCTTCGCTTCAGCAGCCTCCGGATCAGTGGACTTTGCGTCCTCCTCACCCTCTTTCGTTTCGTCCTCTTTCTTGGCGACTTCTATTTGAGATGGTTCGACGTCCATAGCATCTTTAGATTTGTCTTGGTCTTCTTTCTTTGCTTCGGAAGTCGGAGCTGTGGAATGAGGAGAGCTAGCCGCACCCGCTGGTACGGACGGGGTCGCGGTAGAAGAAGCTGATGTATCGTCAGGTGGTTCAGGTGGACCTGTGCCAGCGATACCAGATTGTGCCAACCCTGCTGCTGGATCATATTTACCTATGTAAAAATAAAGAATTTATATATTACCTATTTAACAATTATTATGTGTGAATTATCTTAAAAATAAGCTCCTAGTTTTAAATTTATAATATACAGTTAGAAGAATTACCATCGGAACTAGCACTAGCTTGAACATTTCTTAAATGTTGGTCCAATAAAGCAGCTGGTACTTGATCTTTTATCGCGGCGAATTCTTCCATAGCTGCCTTTGCAGCGCTCGCGGCTACTCTAGGATCCACAACCGATGCAAGGAAAGCGACTGTACTCATAACAGGATTACCAGCTTTCGAGAATGGTACCGGTTGATAAGCCAAAGGCCCTAATCCTTCGGGTCCGCCTTCTTCCAAATATGGATCCTCTATGGGTAAACGTAAGAAATGCAAGATACACTCGTCTTGCGTTCTCGATCCCACATGTTCGCATACTTTGTTCCAGTCGTCCTTGTGTAATTCTAATCCTTCCAGTAATAGAAGTGTTTCCTGTTCTGTCCAATCGCGTGTGGCACCCGCCGCTTGTTTGTTCTTTAGTACTGCCGGTTTCCTTGAATACTGGTCGATTTTCAGACCGAAGTTTGCCATTGCGCCCGCTGAAACCTTTTCTTCTGGACCCAGGGCACCAGTTATGTTTGGTTTTTTTTCCAAATCGAGCAACATCTTCGCAGCGGATGGTTGTGGTGTTTTCGGCGGATTCGGATTGACTGGTGCCAAACCGGACGGAGTGTCCGATAAAACATGGAAATGTGATGTTGGTGGAGGTCCCATTGGTGTCGGTCTGGACTCTGCGTCTACTTGATAGTTAATAAGTCCCCATTGTTCTAAAAACGCGTGCACGCGCATAATCGCGCAT